CAGTAGCTGTGTCCCAGTTTAGTTCAGCCCATTTGAACACAAGCAGTCTTTTGGCATTGTGTAACATCACAGCTAGTGGCACCTTAGTATGCATGCATTTTGCCTGTTTCTCTCTGTGCTGTGCTGGCAAATCAGTGTCACTTTCAGTTCACTTCTCATCTAGGTTAGGGGTACTCATCTGTAATCACACGTGTATTTACAGTGGAATTTAAAGGCACAGAAAGCATTTCCAAGTAATTCAGTTCAGGAGAAGTAATATCAGTAGGTCTGTTTTTTTATTTGCTTTATCTGATTCTGACTCTGTGGCTGACTCCACAAAAGCAACAGTCTGAGAGGGCATGCACCATGCAAAACATAACCAATCTATCAGTCAATAAATATTCTACGTTCTTCTTTTTTTTGCTTTTGCAGAAAAAACGAGATACACAAGCCTGAGTTAAGGAAAGCACTCATAATTCCATTCCTAGTGCTTCCGAATCGGTTTAGGCTTTCACCTCAACCAAAGTACTGTATATTTCAAACCAATGCATGGTTCACATGGAGAGTCATAATTGTATGCAAGCCAGGTTCCTCCAAAATGTCTGGGTGGGGTTTTAGTAAGTCTGATGTTACCAAGACCATTTTCAAACCTCTAATTTTACAACTAGCTTGTGTGGGAGTCTGTAGCAGCTGAAGGATTTGTGAAGCATTTCCTGTTGTGAAAGGTACGTTTCGTTATTCGGACTCTGGCTTAAGAAATATTTGTGTTGGTTTAGAAGCACATTAATCCATGACTGTGTGAAGACCTTGCCAAACAGGCAGGTCTTGTTCTTATCAGTGTTGGGTTTAGGACTTGCAGCTCGAGAATAATGCTGCTTTTGAAAGCCACAGTGTATAGTAGCAGTCACAGAATACTGAGTGGCTCTTTATATTCAGTTCTGCTTTTTCTGTGCTCATTTTTGAGAAATGGTATTTGACTTTAAAACTCATTTTTTTGCTTTGTCTTGTAGAGACATGAAAGCACCGGCTTAAAACACAGGCTCTCAGCTCTGGTACTTTATTTTCCCCTGGGTATTTTGTAGCATGTTAGTTTTACTTTTTCCTTCAGAAAGATACGTTAAAAAAAATAGCACAGTTCTGTCCTGGGGAAAAAAAATATTTAATAAACTTCAAGTTCTTGTACTTTTGAGGTGCTCTTAATTTTGATAATTAAAAAAAACTCCCAGACAAGTTGCAGTAGCTGGGCTAAATAGCCTCCTCTAGTTTGTCATTTTATGTTCTTCTCTTCTTAACAGTATGCTAAATGCTGATGTAGCCAAGCCAATTCTTTCAATCGGGTTGTGCAAATTTCTAATGTTGCATCACAATATTTTTTTTAATTGTATACGCTTACTTCAGTGAAAATAAACTGCAGTATTATAATGAACTTTGATGAATACATTCAAATTACTGATTCAAGTAGTGACAAAATACTTCATTACTCCTTTGCCGCGGGCTGTTTAAAAAGCACAGTCTACAGCTAAGTACAGTATGCGATTTTTTTATTTAAGGATAAAAAAGCACATCTGAGGTTGAGTGAGGACAGATGGTGGTATTTAATATTAGGTTTGTAAGCCATGAAAACCATAGGAATGCACTTTGCCTGAAGGAAACTGACATTTATATTTTAAAACCAGCCAAACAGAAGGGGTTTAGATTTATTAAGTTACACTACCTAATAGTTACAAGTGGCCAGCCGTTTGGAGATGAGGGGACATTGTAACCTACAGGCATGACGTGCAAGCTGCAGCAGAGGGGTCAGCATGATGGAAACTGTTCTGTTGTGTGGAAGAACTGTTGTATGCAAACTCACCTATGACTGTATACGTATTTGATATTCAAAAACTTGCATTGTCACAGGCAATGTGGGCAAAAACAAATATCCCAGATCTGAGAGCCCCATTTTGATGCTATGTACAGTACTAAAACCAGGCTTTTAACGGTTGGTCTTCAGATCCGTGACCCTCATTGCACAGACGAGGTTTCCTTTCATGATCTGTGCAAGAATCAAGAGTAAGCTTGGGATTTATCCCTGAAGACCTTAGCTCTGGGTTATCAGCTTCCATTATTTAGTTTGTTTTTCCTATAGTGAACAGGATAACGAGTTTCAGAGCTCAGTATTTGTGTTTGTCATCTGCACTGAAGCAGCTATTGCTCCATATCCCAGAGGCATTTGTGTTTAAGACCTGCTGTAACTGACCTACTGTATTACTTCACTCAGGCCTTTCTAATGTGCAAGGTGTGAAATGAACTGCAAATTATAAGAGATAATCTACTTTGATAGGCAATTTGAATTTTTTTGGCCTGAGCCTCTTATATAGTATATGGAGATTAAGCCATAGTGCTGTTAACATTCGTTGGAATAGAACTGGGATTTTATTTAACTGTCTGCGAAACGGTCTATTGTGCTCTCGTTTGACTTGCCGGCAAGTTCATAGCAAAGGTATCTTGTGCCAGACTCCAGCCTGGGATATAAACCTGTCTCTTCACTGACTGGAGGAAGAAGAATTTGGAATAGCCAATGTTCCAAAATCCCAGCATAAATTGGCTGTAGAGGTGGATTACTCACTGCGGTTTTCTGCAAGTCTTGTAAGTCTTTCATCCTTATCAGCACAGTTCTGTCATTGCATATAATATTTATGAACTTGCTACTCAGAACGTTTTGTCAGTTGATGCATTTTCATTTGTGTGCTGCTAACCCGCTTTCATGCTGAATAATTTTTTACAGTATGTATTGCGAGGTTGATTTTCACAAATAGGCAGGCTGGTCTGTTTTACCTGTTACTGCGTTTCCTGTTGGAATTGTGCGGTTCAGGAAAATATATTTTTTATTGCAGCTCGCCGATGCACTGTGGACGCGATACAAAAAAACAAACAAAAGCTTTGCCAAAGCTTTGCACTGGGATGTTTAAGGTCATGTCCACAATCTAAATTTCTAACTGTTTAAGTCTAACAAGACAACTGAGGTTTAAGATGTGACTCTTAAAGATATGAAGTTGTACTGTATGAAGTTAGATTTTTACTTTAGGGTCCTAACTAAAAACAAATTTATCCTACTGCATGTCTTACAAGTATTTTAATTTTGAAGTGTTTTTTTTTTCCAAGTAAAAGCTTGGCAAAGTTTTACTGGGTGACATTTTTTTGACAAATCAAACGGATTCCATTAGACTTGCTTAGGCTGTTGCAAACCTATATGACATCTGATATTATTGTCTGCTCACACTGTTCTCCTACACTTTTTTTCATTTAAAATATTTGCTGTTGCTCCTCTACCCTGTTGAAACAGATGAATGCAATGCATGAATGAGCAGACCAGTGAAGAGTATCACAGCGAATAGCAAGCACTTATGTAATAGGCTGTGCTGAGGATACATCCGACGTAGCTTTCAGGAAAATCAGAATACCTGTAATTAGCCTCCTCTTCTCTTTGTTGAAGATAATTAGGGTCCTTTTGCAGAATGCAGAAGCGGAATGCTTTGGAATGATCTTCCTTTCCTGACAGTGTCCCTCTTTCCCATGTCATCCCGCCTGTCAAATACATGCTAATGAAGATCGAGCTCAAGCCGGGTAATGGAGCAGAGCAATGCTTAAATGTCTTCCAGGGCTTCACAGAAAGTGGCATAGGAAAGCAGCACTGCTGTGCTTGTGGAAAAATATCAATTTCAGGAAAAGCGGTCGGGAGGCCAAATCACAGGGGTAGTGAGGAGCTCTTCTAATGTAACTGTACATTCACAACATTTCTCATTGGCTGCAGGGTGAAAAGACTTTAGTTTAACTAAATGTGCTTCAGAAATAAAAAGACATTCTATAATCTCGATTGCACCTTGAATGTGTCTTTTTTATATCTTTTTCTGCAGAAAGTAGATGTATAACTCATGCTTCTTTCTGTGTCTTACAGTAACTTAAAAAGTTCCCTTATTTTCCCCCCTATTTTCACATAGTTTTACATTATAACATTTTTTCTCTTCTAAGATGAGCCCTTAAGAATTTAACTCCAAAGTAGGTAAAAACCAAATGTCAAGCATTACATCCAAATACAGTGTACTGTATTCAGAATTGATTTCTTTATTTCATATCCCACATTTCGATGTGAATATTAGGAAGTCTAGACATAGATCTGACTTCTTATTCAACAGTATTCCTGGGCTGGTTAAGAGTTGCTCTCTGGTGTCAGCATCAAGTTTTTTTCTTTCACAAAAAGTTCCTTAAGTTATTTCACAGCTGCTCATGGCATCCATTTGCAAATAAATCTTTCTTCATTAAACTTGGACCAGGGTTTCAGCCAGGTAATCAAATTCTATTCCCAGCTAAACTTAGCTGGAAGCAGTTGGGGGCTCATAATTGATCAGAAGCTCATTCAATAACGTCATTTCTCTATAACAGAGGATTTCTGGGAAAAAATACTAAAAATGACAGGATAGTGAGAGGAGTGTAATGTTTTTTCAGCTGTGGTAAGACACAGCAGTTAGACTTTTCTTCCCGAGAGGGAATGACATTTGCTTTTCAGAAACGTGTTTCATCTGAAATTTTCAAATTAATCTCAGAGCATCTTTCACATGTATGACTTGATCACAAGTGTTATAACCTGCTGTGCTTCTACACAATTGTCATTATTTAATGTGGGGGATGGGACTGGATGCTGTTTGCATAGGCCATGGTTGTTTTGAGAATTGTTTTGGAGCTGTAAGAATTTCAACATACAGAAATTGCAATATGCCACATGTACAGTATGTGTTTATACTGTACAAATAACGAGCAGTGCCCATTTCCCCTAAGCAATTTGTAAGCACCAGTCTCCTTAATTAGTGATTCCTGGTAATGTAGTTACACTCCAACGAACATTCCTGCTTGTTAGGCTTCCTTCTTGTCACAGAATGAATGAAGCATCCAGCAAAAGTTGTATAGAAGCCAAGAAGAATTTGGAAACTTTGGCTAAATGTAAGTGTTCTAAAAAACAAATGTCCTTTCTTTTTTAACGTTAGGCTGAAAATGACCAGCTAAAGCCATACATGAGCGTAAATGTACCAGATGAAAGAGAAGAATGACAGTCTGATGTCTGAGGCAAGTATGAGTCTTGTAAAACACTTTTAAACTTGAAGTTGGAAGGAGTGAACTCTGTACTCTAGATTGCTGTGTACAGGTACTACTACTCTAGTAACAGATTTCATGTTGTCAGTCAGTCAGTTGTGCTGAAAGTGGTAACAGGGTGATGTGACAACAGTAAGCTTAAAAAAAGACGTTACTGGACTTTCTTGTCTATTTACCGAACCCTTCAGGATTTTGAAAGTTAATCTCCAAAATTGCAATGTACCAAAAAACCCAACAAAGAATAAAAACAACAAGAAACAAATATATTACAGTTATGAGGCTCCTATCCATTGAGTCCATTGAGTGCTCCTATCTTTATAAGATTAATTGAAAAATTAAGTGCCTACATGTTTTGACTAGAGGGAATGTATCCCAGGACTGAACCCAATGGAAAGGGACAGAAAAAGAAAAAAAAACCTTTGTCTCTGAAAGTGCTTATGGTAAAGAAGTATTTTATTTATTTCACCTGTGTTTCTAGATATAAGAATCTAAAGTGTGTGTACAGGTAGCTCTTCACTGTTTTCTGAACTGAGACTTCCATGGGCACAGATCACGAGTGAGATCACAGAGTCTGAGGGGACATTTCTGTACAATTACAGAATTTCTCAGGAAGCACAGGTGAAGGTCTTAGAGACTTTATCCAGGTTATGTTCTGTTGATCTTCCCAGTTTTCCCCACCCTTTCTTAATATTGCAGGGGGCGTTAAAAGCTTAAATTCCAGACAGGAAATGCCTCTCGTTGGCTCTGTGACAGAACTCTTCCCGATGCGCTGGACCTCCGATCGGACTAGTCCTAATTTTAGTTTGTTAACATTTTAAATGAAAAAAATATGCCTAAAAAGTTTTTTTATTTTTTTTTTCTTATTGTTAAGAGGCAGAAATCCCAGCTAGTTCCAACATGGAATTTGTTAGTCTCTCGTAATCACCCATGAAAATAACTTGGCCCAGTTGCAGATTTATACAGGAATGTATTTATATAGGAAATCTAACCTTTTACACAAGCCATGGATAAAATAACTTAAGCAGATTTCTTCAGTTTTTAAAGAATAATATTAAGAAATAATCCTATAAAGTGCTTTCTTAAAACCTTTGTTTTGGAATCGCAGTGTAATGTACTTCATTAATAAACTATGCCCGAAGATAGATTTAAAAAAGTACTGAAATTTGTTTTGAGTATCATGATTATAAGTATAAACATGTAAATACAGTCCTTTGTACTCAACTCATTTTCAGTCATTTCTAGTTTGCAGAAAACAAGATTTACTTTTTTTTTTACTTTATTAGTATTTTTTCGTTCTTCTCATGGCACCCCAGCACCAGCTGTCACTTTAACTCCAGGCTGTAGCAGTAAGGGCAGAGATCGCCGTGACCTGTCTGCTGAAGAGCCTTTAAAAAGCGAAAGTGCCGTTTAGGGCTTATTGTTCCACTAATTGGCATTCATTGCATCAGGTAGAAGGAGAAAATCATCAAATTCTATGACATTGAAGGTAAAATCTACAGTGTGTAACAGTGTGTGAAGAACTCTATGCAGGTCGGGGAGCGGAGGAGTCCAAGGCGAAGACGGAGTTGGAATTGCAGGCAGGGTCATTTCCAGGAGGCTTGAAGACAAAAAGGGATCGCAAAGGTTTCGAAGAGCTCGGGGAAACAGAAGAGACTGTTTAATACTAAGCGGTGAAGTGAAAGCTGAGGAGGTTTAAGTAGCAGGTGCGGTGAGAGGCGAGAGATGTGATGGGAGGACTAGCTTGTGCGTTGTCGTTTTCGGGAATTGGGTCGGGCTGGTGTCTGATTGACAGGGGTCGTGGGAATGCGCCGGCCTTTATCCCAATTATGCGGTTGAGCGCCCTACAAATGCATTGGGGTAGTGATTTCTAAAATGGGATGTTCACTTTGAAACTTGTGTTCGTTGCTCTTGTAAAAACAATTACAATAATTACAACCCCTAAGTAGTGTATTTTCAATAAAGTCAATTCAGTTCCATTTAACAAACCGATATAGTTTTTAACATTGCTAAGTGATGTATTTTGTGTAGAATCTTGTAGAAGGTTTTGTTGTTCTTTGCATCCAGGTGCTTTTGGTTGAAGCTCTCCATGTACATGAGGTATTCTATGGCACTCGTGCATACTGTTGATTTCACAGGTGAAATCTGGTCTGTCTAGGGCTGGAGTTCCTAGTTCAGTTTACTTGAAATGATGAAATGCTCATCTGTTGCCTTGGTTTTGACTCTTGTGAAGAGAAGATACCTTCTGTATTGTTGCCAACCGTTTT